TGGAAATACTTATTTTCATATCGCATCACGTGGAGCCCACGTAGTCCTTGAGAAGAGAACATTTTTTTCAACCATTATTCATTAGGCAAGAATTAGTAGTGTTACAGAATGCTGTCACAGGATGCCTACCAGGCCTCCTTGCCAAGCCAGAATGCAAGCATCTATAAGAACAAAGACATCACATGAGTCTCTTGGCATCCCTGTGGAGATGGACAATTTGGCAGTGGCTATGGCAGCTTTTGGCTGGCTGACTCCCCTTGAGGGGTGCTTGGTGAAGGACTGCAAGAAAATAATATTTGGACATTGGCCATGGGGAGGGAGATGTCAGTGGATGAGTGTCTGTTAAGGAGACTGGCCATCTTTTGGGGGGATCTCTAAAAGCATGTGTTCTTTTAGGGAATAAGGATTAGAAAGGCAAATATCAGTGTCATGGATGGAATATTGCTTGTCAAAGTTGTACCTTAACCAATTGATTTATGGGCATAGGGCCTGAGACTCAAGTTCTGCTTGTCCATCAACAACTTTTCTGTTCATCCCCACTATCTGAGGATTGGGTGGATGAGAGCGGGGTACATTTATTGGAAGGTCATTGCCAAGGTGTTAAGTAGGGAAAGAAGGTTTATCAGTATGCTTATTGCTAAAATAAGTGCCCTAGAGCTAGAGAGGCACAGACAGCTCATATTGTCAATCTTTAAGTAGAACTATTGGCTAGTCATTGGGGATACAGGAAAACATAGTGTACAACTCACTGGAAATAAAAGTGCTTGTGTTAAAAACAGAAACAAAAACAAAACAAAACAAAACAAAAGAATTAGTCATGTTCCTGGATAGAAATGACCACAAACATAGTTGGTTATACCAGCTCTCAATTACCAACCAAATTGTCAGCCTTTGTGATAGGAAGAAACTAGAAAATTAATAAAAGGGTGTGTGTGTGTGTGTTTGTGTGCGTGTGTTGGGGGGGCAGGGAGAACTTTATGAAAAGTTTGACAGCAATGAAAAGAGTGCCCTCTTGTGGCATATGAGAAAAATAACTTGGTTCTCAATTATTTCATCATTTTAATTTTTTCCTCAAGTGACTACCGTACAAGTTGGCAGAATATTAGTCAATCTTTGTGTTCAGTTTAAAAGAGTAAATATAAAACACAGTAGAAAAGAACACAAAATGCCTACTTACTGTACACAGGACTACTTAAGCAAAAGCTTGCTTCTTACTCTCAGACAATAGTAAAACAAAATTCAATAAATACAGCCATGATTGTAAGAATATAAAGACTCAAGACTATACTTTCAGGGAAAATTTCTATAGTTATACTTATAAAACCCTAAAGATTCTACAGAAAAGCTCCTAGAAACAATAAGTCGGGTTAGTAAAGTGGCAGGCTACAAAATCAACACCCAAAAGTCATGGCTTTCTTATATACAAACAACAAAAGAGAAGAAACAGACATTTATAAAAATCCTGTTCACAATAGTACCTCAGAAAATCAAGTACCTCGGAATCACCTTAACCAAAGAGGTGAAGGACCTATACAAGGAAAACTACAAAACACTACTTCAAGAAATAAAAGAGGACACTAGGAAATGGAGACACATCCCCTGCTTATGGATATGGAGAATTAACATTATCAAAATGGCAATACTTCCCAAAGCACCATACTAATTCAATGAGGTCCTTATCAGGATACCCATGACAGTTTTCAAAGAAATAGACAAAACACTCCTGAAATTCATACGGAACAATAAACCCCAACGAATAGCTAAAACAATCTTTGGGAAAAAGAAGATGGGTGACATCACCCTCCCCAACTTCAAACTGTACTACAAAGCAGTAGTAATTAAGACAGCATGGTACTGTTCTAGAAACAGACCTACAGACCAATGGAACAGAGTCAAATATTCTGTCACAGGCCCCCAAATATTTGACCACTTAATCTTTGACAAAGGAGCAAGAAATGTGAAGTGGAACAAGGAAAGCCTCTTCATTTAGTGGTTCTGGGAAAACTGGAGAGCTATCTGCAAAAAAAAAAAAAAATGAATGCTGACCTCTGTCTAATGCCAGGCACAAAAGTCAGCTCAAAGTGGATTAAAGACCTCAATTTCAGACATGAATCCATAAGGTACATATACGAAAATGTAGGCAGAACTCTCCACGACATTGAAGCTAAAAACATCTTTAAGGATGAAACAGCACTGACCATGCAAGTGGAAGCAAACATAAACAAATGGGACATCAAACTAAGAAGCTTCTGAACTTCAAAAGAAAGAGTGACCAAAATACAGAAAGAGCCCACAGCATGGGAAAGAATATTTACCCAATACCCATCTGATAAGGGATTAATATCCAGGATATACAAGACACTAGTAGAATTGTAGAAGAAAAAAACCTCCAACCCCATCAAAAAATGGGGAGAAGAAACGAATGGAAGTTTCCTCAAAAAAGAAATACAAATGGCCAAAAGGCACATGAAAAAATGCTCCACATCACTAGCCATCAGGGAGATGCAAATGAAAACAACAATGAGATATCATCTCACATCACAGAGACTGGCACACATTCAAAAGAACAAAAGCAACCAGTGCTGGCATGGATGTGGTGAAAAAGGGATACTCTTTCACTGTTGATGGGAATGCCCACTAGTCCAGCCTTTCTGGAAAACAATATGGACAGTCCTTCAAAAACTAGAAATTGAACTTCCATATGAGCCCTCAATACCACTTCTGGGAATGTATCGTGAGGATGCAAAAAAAGCACAGTAGAAATGATATCTGTACCTATATGTTCATTGCAGCACTGTTCATAATAGCCAAAATCTGGGAACAACCCAAGTGCTCTAGAATAGATGACTGGTTAAAGAAACTTTGGTATATCTACACAGTGGAATACTATGAAGCTGTCAGGAGAGATGAAGTCATGAATTTTGCTTATAAATGGATAGACATGGAGAGTATCATGCTAAGTGAAATGAGTCAGAAAGAGAGGGACAGACATAGAAGGACTGCAATCATTTGTGGAGTATAAAACAACATAACATGAGACTTACACCTAAGGATACACAAGACAGATAGATTGCTCCATATCTGGAAGCCTGCCTCACAAGCAAAGGGGAGATGGTAGCTGGAATAGAGAAGGGATCACTAAGAAAAAGATGGCTGGAGAAATCGGTCAGGATGGGAGACATGTGCAAAAAATAGGTAAAGGACCAAACATGATAACCTCTCAGGGTCTGTATTGCAAACCATAATGCCCAAAAGTAGAGGGAGATTATGGGGAATCATGTCTGCCATGGAGGCAGGAGGAGGGTGGGAAAGCGGGGGGGGGGGGGTATACCAGGGATATTGGTGGTGGGGAATGTGCACTGGTGGAGGGATGGGTGTTTGATCATTGTGTGACTGTAACCCAAACATAAAAGCTTGTAACTATCTCATGGTGATTCAATAAAAATAAAATATATATATAAAGACTCTGAGCCCAGGAACAGTTCAGTGGCAGAGCGGCTGCCTGGAAGGCATGAAGCTGTGAATTTTATCTCCACATTTCTCCACATATGCCAACGGTGATCTTGGCGGAACAGCACTCAACAGTGTGAAATCTCTAATGAGTCACAACCAAGCACACAACCGTTGCCATGGTAACAAGAACAAATTGAAATAGAAGGTGGGGGAAAATATACATCCAGAACGGGAGGCAACTGAAAACGGCAAATGTGCAACGTCAGTCCCCTGGAACTAGAGCTTTCATGAACTCTCCACCTCTATAAGGGTTCATAGAAGAAAAAAAATAGAAACCTGATAAAAGTTATGCAAATAAAGTGAAAAGGAAAACACACTAGTGAAAAGTGAACTCTATAGAATACAGTCCCTCCTAATTTCTATGACCTGGAGTTGGGTCACTTTATTGTCTACAAGTTCTCAAGAGCATCTATAGGAACCCCCAAAGCAGCAAACAGAGCTTAAAGAAACCAAGTCCTCAAGGCATAGAAGCCACTCTCTGATAAGCTGTCTCCATAGTGATGGGAAAGTTTCAAGGGAAACTGACTCACTGTCACTTTCCAATCCCACCCAAGTTGTGTACCAGGTTGGCCTAAACGTTCTCCTTTATCCAAGGAGAAGAAAGTCTCCTTAGTGACTCTGAAGTCAGTTCAGAGAGTAGCAGTCTCCTGAGGATATATTTGTTTTCAGTACAATTTTACTCTCTTCTGGGGTTCCAATGAAAAGAACAGCCTCCATGTCAGTTCTTGGATCCTTCCAGGTGATATTTATGCATTTAACTCCTTCTAGCTAAATCTTCATTTTCATCATTTTGCACACTTGATGGTGACAGACATATATTTAGTGACTCAATCTATTACAGGCCCTGGATTAGATTCTGGGTATCAGAAATGAGTAGGATACGGTTTTTTTGTTTCCCTAGTGATAGCACAGAGGTAGGGCATTTGCCTTGCACGCAGCCAACATGGCCGACCCAAGTTCGATTCCTCCGCCCCTCTTAGAGAGCCCGGCAAGCTACCCAGAGTATCTCTCCCACACGGCAAAGCCTGGCAAGCTCCCCGTGACGTATTTGATATGCCAAACACAGTAACAAGTCTCACGATGAAGACGTTACTGGGCTTGCTGGAGCAAATCAATGAACAACGGGAGGACCGTGACCGTGACCGTGACTGAGGTCCTGCTTGTATATATATTACTAGTTTACTTCATTTGGGAGGAAGTTGAATGGGAGGTCCTGTCTACACCAGCCACTACATCTGAAAGAACTGACACCCCTCTTGTCTTATTCAGCTTCACCAGTTCAGCTTGCAGGGTAGTGTGAAAATCCAATATTTCCAAGTAACCCTCCTTGGCCATGAGAACATACTCTCCTCCCCATGGAAAAGAATCAAACATTCATAGGATTTACAAGGAGCAAAAAGGAGGGGAAGAAAATACAAAAGAAAAGTCTAAGTTCGTTAAATGAGAAAGAGAGAGACTATTAAAAAAGAGGGAATAATATACACAGATACACAATGCCTCCACCTAGGAGGCTCTGCAGAGTTTTATTGTAACTTTATGACTTTTAAAATGGTATAAAGTAGTATTGATCTGTTCACACATAACCAGCATATATGAACCGATATCATCAATTATTGTAACCAAAGTAACTATGACAGGAAAAGCTTGGCATTCTTCATCCTGTCCATCCAGCAGTATCGCAAGAAAACAACACTGCAAGAAAAGCAGGAGAATAAGAGCTTGCTGATGACAGGGCACAATTTTTATATGGGTCCATTAACAGTAGAGATACATACAAAACATAGAATAATTTAAAAAAGGAAGAATCCCTGAGATTTCATTTTAAAGCATTTGCATTCACAGTTACTTTGTGTGAAAATGAAGTCGGACGTTTGGCAGGACTTTGGATCTAAGTATATCTTCACTCAGCTGTAGCAGTTGATTAGGAGAGCATATATATGTTAGGTAAACAGTAGCAAAGTCTCTCCACAGGCTGTTCTTTACAGATAAGGCCTGCCAAAGAGTTAAATCAAAGCAAAAGAGAAACGGAAGTACAGAATAGGAAGCTAGTGAGTGTCAGTGGTTGTGTCTATCAGTCTTCAAGCTATTTTAATTATAGTTGTCTTCCTGGTTTTCACTGAATTGAATTTGGGTTAGGCTTTCTGTTTTACTTTGCTTTGCTTTCAGGGTCTCCCCAGCCGTGTTTAGGGACCACCAGAGTCATAACCATTGGTGCTGGATATGTGATAATCTATCTCAGGGTTTCCACCATCAGAAGCATGTACTCCAGCCCTTGAGGATAGTTCAATCTCTTCAGCCCCTGCAGCCTGGTTTTGCAGGCTTTCTCTGAAAAATTCTGAGCCATTTGCTAAATAATATAAACATTTTAAAGTAACTATTATTGCCACTAAGTTTGATCAGTCATTGGAGTATCATTGGGGTATCACGAATTTCACACAATACTACCACAAAACACCAGGAGAATAGGTCATGTAGTTCCCTACACATTAGACCTTTCCACTGGAATTTGTTAAGGCAAAGAGATGGGAACTGAGTGTTTCAAATCAACGGTCACGTTATTTGCTAATAAATAGCACACTTGAAAACCCCCAACCCATATGTCATGTACCAAGGTGGGACTTAAATGGCAATAGAGTTACATTTTATTTAATTTATCATCATCATCATCATCATCACCATGATTATTACTTTGGATTTTGAGCCACACCTGACATTGCTCTGGGCTAACTCCTGACAGTGCTTGGGTGACCATCTGCAGAGCCAAAGGCTGCAGTCATCTGCATGTGCTTTAACCCCAGTTCTGTCTCTCTGACCCCTAGAGTTACATTTTGAACTGCAAGGTTAAGCTTTGTGGTTATGCTTTAGTCAGTGATGTTTTGTTAATGACTTAGAGAGAATGCACTGTGGTTGGGATTATCTTCACATTCATCACTGCTTAAACAAATACAACAAAATGACCATACTTCTGATCCTAACTGGAGAGAATAAGGCATCGTCAATATCATCATCTTCTAAGATACAAAAATAAAAAAGATTGAGGACAGAAAAAGAAGTATGTTAGAGAAATTAAGTGAGAATTTTGACATAATACTAAAACTGGGTCAATTTGTCCAGTCTGGCTCTCACGGATACTTCCTCATTAGATTGACTATTTCATTATAGAGCCGCCAGGGGGCATCTAGGCCCCAGAGAAAGTCCAGATGTTCCCATTCAGGAATGAACTTGCTGTACACCAAATTAGGGAGTTTAGGCAGGAGCATACTGATGTCTTTGTAGTCGGCCAGCGAGTCATGGCCCCCACTCCAGACAGCGACAGGTACCTTCATGTCTCTCACATTGTAAGCGGGAGGGTGACTCTATAGTTAAAATAAACAAACAACAAACTGTGGTTACGGTTTCAAATTACAAAATCATAGCCCACACACCCATCACTTAGCACTCAATGCATGGGATCTGAGGGGGGAAAAAAGACCAAAACTTGTAAAATCATTGTACACTTTAAAAGTTACTCTTACTCAGACAAAAACAAACTGAAGCCACACAACAACTAGACTCATCACGGGCTTTGGAGCTGATGTCCCAGGCCCAGGCATGTGACAAGAGTTTAACCCTCAAGAAGGAAGGCATCTTTCTCCCTCTGAAGTCATTCTGAGAGGAAGACTAATCAAGTCATTAGCCGCTCTGCTTGAAATCAAATCCTCCAGTTTCCTCTCCCTCTGGAGTATTGACATAAGTCATAAGAATTCCTCAAAGCCTCAGTTTCCTCACTGTGTGACATATTCACACCTGGGTCACCAGATAGTTGTAAGAATTAAATAAGAAAAACTTGAACAAAATTCCTCTAGCTTAAGAGCATGCAAAATAAAGCCAATTCATTTACATGTGAAAGAAACAGCATAGGGGTATAGCTTAGCTTGGTCAATTCTACCCCCTACACACACACCCTGTACTACCAGGCCTGAGTTCCTCTAGCCATTAAGGAATTTTGCTCCCACAGTCATTACAAATGCTGCCTACAACCCAGCACAGAACGGGGCAATCCCATTCCCATCACCTACCCCATAGCTGGGCGTTCTGGAATGAAAAGAGGTAAAACAAATACTACCTCCTCCATCTTCCCAAACATTTCCACACACCTGAGTCCTGACCACTGAGCCACCTGGATAGAATTTGGAGGCCCTCTTTACTTCTGAAGACTACAGACTCACCTGGTTGTAGTGAAAATAATTCTTGGCCATACTTCCCCAGTCGTAGGCCTGGAACTTGTGAAATTTAGCTGTCTAAAGCGAAGATAATTTGAATAAAATTTAGACTCTGACATAAAACTGAAATGATATCACAGATTGCTAGAGTTTAGCTATGTTCTCAGAAATCAATTCTATCTCAATACCTAAAATTACTCTTCATTTCCAAACTTCAATTTAAGATGAATGGCTTTATTTTGTTCTTTGTTATTAAACAACTCAACTTACCAGTGTCTTGTGGGAAAGTTACATGTGTATATATGAATTATATTAAATAAAAAAGTTGTACCTGTGCATAAACTTTATTATGATATCTTACATCAAAATTTGAGTCAAATTTTTCTGAGCATTAACTATCTTACTTAGAGAAGAAATGCATGTTATAAAGTAGATTAATAAATGCTTGTATATTAATTGCTATGTAATGATACATATCATTAGAATTGATGCTAATTAGATGTATCAATATCTATTATCTATTTACATAGATTAATATAAATACTATATCGTGAGTTAACACATTTATGCATGGATACATATAAGTATTTCCCTGTCTAGCTTCATTATTTACTATTTTGATTGATTTCATGTAGCACTGTAGCACTATCCTCCCGTTGTTCATCGATTTGCTCGAGCGGGCCCAGTAACGGCTCCATTGTGAGACTTGTTGTTACTGTATTTGGCATATTGAGTACGTCACAGGTAGCTTGCCAGGCTTTGCCGTGCGGACAAGATACTCTCAGTAGCTTGCCCGGCTCTCCCAGAGGGGCGGAGGAATCAAACTCGGTTTGGACAGGTTGGCCGCGTGTAAGGCAAACACCCTACCTGCTGTGCTATCGCTCCATAATATTTCTTAAACACAAATAATAGAATAATCAGCAAATTTTTACTACAATCAGCATAATTATATTCAGTTAGGGATACTAGTCAGGAAATATTACGTATGAGGCTTCGTCTTCAAGTGCATGTTTTCCCTTAAATATGCATCTCGCTTGTTTACCTCTGTCTCTTTGCTTTTTCCTCTCTAGAAAAGCCCATGTTCTCTCTTGAACATATAAATAAGTTTCAATAAAAACTATGTTGAAAAACAACATAGCTTTTATTGAAACTTATTTCTTGTTTTTATTGAAACACATAAAAATTACATGTAAAATTTAAATTTATGAACATTTATAATGGTATAAATAAAATTTTAAAAAATCATTTATTTGAAAATATTGAAACAATGCAAATTCTATCTTCCCAAATTCAAAATCTGTCAGAAAATAGATTCAAAACTGGCATTCCAAAGAGCATTGGATACTGTGTCAAATTTTTTACCAACTGGTGTCAAAGGGAAAAATGCAGATATGCTCTGTCAAAATGGCTTTCTTGGGGGTGACATTTCACAATTTAATATTTATTACTTCAATATAATTTTAAGTGGGTTAAAAGTCAGAATATGAAACTAGTATTCACTATTATATTACACTTATCTATATCATATGTGAATGAAAATTAGTAAGAAATGGTCACATTACAATAAACAGCTTTAAAACTGACACTTAAAATTAGTTCGTAAATCTTCAATGTCTTGAATATATGATTCACTTCTAATCCTATATACTATAACAATTCGCCCAGGGTATAGAGGTAGAATGCTAAGCCAAGACAAATAGAAAACTCTAATGACACCATTATCATGTAATAATAAATTTAAAGAATGCAACTTGTCCTTGGTAATAACTTTTGTTTCATCATTCTTCTGTGAGGTCACTTTGTTATATATATATATGTATATATTTGTTTTATATAAATATATTTATATATTTTTGTTTTATATACATTTTGTTTTACATATATATAAATTTAAGACTTTACTTAAATACCATGGTTTCCAAGGTTTTTCATACTACCGTTGTTTCAGGCCTTCAATGTTCCAGCACCAATCCCACCACCAGTGTGATCTTCCTTCCACCAATATTCCCAGTTTCCCAACCCCTCCATGCTTGTCCCCTTATCTGGCCCAAATTAATTTATTTCATATTGCTTGTTGTAAAATGGCAAATGGAATTACCAAAAAATATTTCAGTAAAAGAAAATCGGTGAAAATTGTCATATCTCACAATGATATTATTAGAGTCAATGTCTGAGGATTTCCAGAGCTGTTCGGTGCTAGCTGAATCTTCTGTGTTTTCTCTTATTGGGCTCAGTGGGCTTCTATGCAACTTTGCCACCTAATTTGCTCCTACTGGAGTATGAGTATTGTGAAATTTGAAGGTGTCACGTGGTGGCAATTATTTTTACATTTATTATTGACCTAATACTGAAAAGCATTTGCGATTATGGCAGAGACCATCGACTGTTCTGGTTCTCCGGTTCCCACCACCACTGGGTTTTCTTCCCTTCGTGACAGAGCACTGCACCTTACTCTAAGCCTTGTTATTTCTGCCAGGGGAGAAACCACATCCCTCATGAGCTTCCTTCCAGTGGGCCCCCACAGACGGGGAGGCCAACTAGCTTCAGTTAAGAAGACATTGAGAATACCCAATTCTTCTTTCTAGGAGATGGGATAAAGGGGACTGGGACAAGAGTAAGAGCCTGCAGCCTCACCAGCTCCTCTGCCAACGACACAGACCATTCTGTAACATACAGCCTGACTCCCAGGGCCGCTCCATTCCCAAGAAACCTTGGAAGGCAGGCTTGGCTGGTCTTTTGTGCTTTACTGAAGCTGATGGTTTACCATCTGGCGAGCTGTAAGGGCCACTCAGCATCTGCCGTCCACTCAGAAAGCTCAACCTCTGAGCAGGAGCAGACTCACTCCTGCAGGGACTTAAACTGTGTCTTTCTAAGAAACTTCTACTAGGAAAGAAGGCAAAATGCCCAGAAAGGTAGGGTAGATAAAGTAAATCCCGGACCTGAATGAGTGCTTGTAATTTGGAGTGTTTTTTGAAGGCTTGTGGTCCTTCCTTAAGAGGTGAGCATGTGTCCTTCAGCAGGTTATGACTGACTAGCCACATTCCACACTCACCTCTTCTAACCAATACAAATATCACATAGAGTCACAGACAGCTGAAATGTTTAAGTTAATGGGCTCAGGGCCTTTCCTCTCTGGTTCCTTAGAAAAACACCACAAATTCCACACAGGAGACTTCAGACCATCAGTGATGTCTTGAGTCAGTAGCTCCTGAAATCAGCTGAGTAGAAGAATCTCCCAGGCAGTCTTTATTTTAAAAAAAATATAGACCCTTTCACTACTCAGCAAAAAATGAACTTCTGATATCACGACAGTGGGATAAATCTCAAAATCATTAGGCTAAGTAAAAGAAGTTCAATAAAAACAAGGGCAAGGCTCAAGAGACCAGTTGACTCTCAAACAAACAACAGAGTTGGTCTGCCTGGGTCCAGTTACATGAGGTACATGAGGACTTTTTTCTGTCTGTAATTCTGCATATGGAGATGAGGAATCCACCACAGTGAGGTCTAGTCATAAATTAATACTGGATTTTTCCTGTGTGTGAGGATCAGTGATTCTACCCCTGCCATTCAGAGATCAGACCACGTATGTAACTGCACTCATACAAAACTCCAGAAAATGCAAACTAACCTAGAGTGAGAGAAAGTACCTCGATAGTTGTTTGGGGATAAAGGGGGGAGCCCGGATGGTGGGGTGTGGAAAGGGAACATGCAAATGCTTGGCAGATGATAGATAAGTTTGCCATCTTGCATGTAGTGACAGTTTTGCAGGCATATACCTATACAAAAACATATATGGTACTTAAGCCTCAATAGAGTGTTTTCTTTGTTCCCTAAAAAAAAAAAGCACAGATTTTTCTGGTCCAAATGAAGTTCCCCTGACCAAATGAGTTATCTCTCTAGTCTTTGCTTTTTTTTTAAACTTACTTTGCTTTTTATTTTATTTTATTTTATTTTTGCTTTTTGGATCACACCTGGCGATGCACAGAGGTTACTCCTGGCTCTGCATTCAGGAGTTACTCCTGGCGGTGCTCAGGGGACCATATGGGATGCTGGGAATCGAACCCGGGTTGGCCGCGTGCAAGGCAAACGCCCTACCCGCTGTGCTATCTCTCCAGCCCCTCTAGTCTTTGTTTTTGAAAGTCTGAACTGTAGACAATTTAAATGATCACAAGGCCACCTCTCCTTCTTTAAAACATATCTTATTAAAAGGCATGCTTTAAAAGTCACTCGTGTCATTCTCAGGTAAGTTGTGACTGCCGGTGCATGGAAATTGCTTTTAAACCTGCAAAAATTTGTATTAGAAGTTAAATGGTCAGTTATTACATATTTTAAAAGAAATTTGGTGGATGCAGGGTGGGAGCTGGGGTTGTACCAAAAAAATCCTCTCAGAGAGAGAGAGAGAAAGAGAGAGAGAGAGAGAAGCTGGGAGATGGAGGAGGAGGATAATGGAAGGGAAACTAGGGATACTGGTGCTGGTTGGGAAATGTATACTGGTGGAGGGATGGATGTTCAAACACTGTATGACTGAAACCTAATCATGAAACAGCTTTGTAAAGGTTCGTCTCACGGTGATTCAATAAAAAAAAAAAAGAAAGAAACTGCTTTCTCTTTTCTCTTTTCCTATGTGTAATAGCCAAGTTTGCTGAGATGAACATACATTACCTTTGTAATATTTTATTTAAAAAATTAAAATACTTAGGCAGTCCAGGAGCCTCACCAGTGATTCTTGGCCAGGCAAGCTGGTGGTTCATTGCCAGGTCCAGCTGTGATGCTGCGTGAGGCTTGTGGTGCCAGGGATTGTTCGGTCCACCCCAGTGGCGATGAGGGGACTCAAAGGCTGTACCCAGAATTGCTTGGGGAGCCAGGTGGTGCCAGAAATTCCCATCTCCCATCTCCTCAAAAACGCTTTTAAAAGTAATAGAGCTACTTTAAAAAGGGATATAGCTCAGCTGTAACATAGCGGTTTTATGTCTGTGAGGCCCTGGTTTTATCCTCAGGACCCCAGAAGGAAAAAAAAAAAAGCTAGTGTCTCCCATTTAGGCACATGAACAATTTAGTTCTCACTTGTCCTTATATTTCAGGCATTTTGTGGATTAAAGATGAAATAGCAGTGTATCTCGAAAGCGGTTCTAAAATATTGCCCTATGAAGGAATAGAAATAATATATAAGTCTGGGTATAACAAGAACCCAACGGAATAGAGGGAGGAAGAGAAAGAAAGCATGTAAATCCCCTTATCTGTTTAGTTAAGTCACAGTAGTTTGCCACAGGGCAGGGACGGAGGATACTGGAAACTGAGCCAGGAATCAAGAACTCTGGGGAAGGAAACCAGCTCTGTTGGGACAACTTGCTGTTCAGGAAGGGCTCACAGAGTGGGGCTTTACGAAGCACACTGAATTTGCTTATTCTGATTTTACACAACCCCCTGGAATGCTCACCTGGCGCCAATGTAACATGTTTTGCACTGAAGTTCCAGCAGGACTGTGTGTTGTGTAAACTGCCACTCTGGACTGAAAAATAATCATGGAATAAAGAATAAAAGTTTTCAGGAGGCTTGGATAATAAACAACCTATTTTGGAGTTCAAAACAATTTCCAGCACTACGATTTCAAATACTGGAGATTAAGAACAGGAAGAAAATTCTTTGGCTACAAATATGTCTTAAAAGAAACAACCACATCATGTGGCACATGTGAAAAAAATGCATCAACATGGGAACTGGGGGCTGTATGGACTGACATTATTGGCCATTTTTATCTTCTCATACTGCTCTTAATTTACAAAATTTTGTATAACAATCACAACTCCCTCCTATCATCAAGAAAAATTAATATCGCTGAATAATTTCTCTAAAAACATTATTTCAAATTTTTAAAACCTGTTTCCGAAATACAAAATGACAAACACCAAAACCTTAGAACACCAGTCTTTTGTTGGCCAATGATTTACATTTTAAGAAATAAAACATCGTATTTTTATATGATGCATACCTACATTTATTTAATAAAGTATAAGGGCTATTCCAAATTTAATACACTTATTATATCTTTTTTAAAAAATCACTTGAATAAATAGAAAATAAATTTAAATTGTGATAGATTTCCTCATTTAATAGCTTATATATAAGTGCAATATAGGAATTTTACACTAACCAGTCTGTGGATAGTAACAGATGGTTTTCTGGATACTTAATGAAATTGATTCCTACAACCTCTTAAAGAGCCTTTATATTTTTCCATGTGAACACCTGACTTAACAAAGTTGTTCATAATACAGTCATTTCAGGTATTTAAACACCATGAGTTAACAAATTTGTTCATAATACAGTCATTTCAGGTATTCAGTATTCCAATACCAATCCCACCACCAGTGTAACCTTCCTCCACCAATGTATTGAAAGAACATTTAGGCCAGTGTGTTTCATCCTTTTTCTGACATGGCTTCTTCTGATCTTGTTTTCTTCCTGTCACCCTCTTGTTCTACCAATTGACAGGCTAGTCTCATGCTATGTCCCCACTTATGCATTTCTCACATCTGATACTCCTGAAATAGCTTAGGAACCCATAAAGGCCCACATGTCCATCCCCAGCCCCTACCACCAGTGGTTGACAATGCTGCTTAAAAGATCTAGTGTGGTCATTCATATTCCCCACACCCTAATTCCTTCAATACAAATAAGGACATGGGCTGACAAAGTAAAATCATCAAATGTTTAAAGCAAGTCAATACAAATATACTTACCATATTTAGGTTTCTCTCATTGAATCCACAAATAACAAAAAAGATATTTCCACAAAGCTCCTTCAGAATAGCATGGGTGCAGATGTGTGTACTCAGCCATTTCAAAAATTCACTCTCGGGAAGAAATTCTTTGACCCCCAGTATGTCCTGCAAAATAAATAGTAACCCAAGAATATCTCAGCATTGCATCTTAGTGCATAGGACTCTGTAACCCACCTTCAAAGCAGAAACAGATGCCAAGGGTCTTTAAGAACTACCAGTTCAGATTCAGATACCTATGTAAAACATTTATTATGGCAAAGGTGACTGCATAGATGGCATTTAGTCTCAAAATGGAAAAAGGGTGGAATGGGGGGGGGGGCAGAAATAAAATTAATTTACTGAAAACTTTAAGTGTGAAAATTTTTGCTCATCCCACAGACATACTCAAAGAGTTTCACCACAATCTGATGGGTAGGTAGTAACTTCTAAGAAAGAGTTCGAACTGAGTTTGATCATCAATGTGTCTGCCCAAGGGACATACAACTAATTCAAAATCCAGTCCACTGCCTGACTTGTTGCCTTTTTATTACTTTTTAAAGAATACTGTGATAGAATCACAGATAACACAAAGCTTATCATTGAAATTATTTTAGGTATCTGATGAGGTGGTATTAAGTGTATTCACACCATCACACCGTACCAATCTGAATCTAGGGTCTTACATAAGCAAGACAAGTGCAATATTTAGCTATTTTTCCAGCAAGAGCTCTTATAAAAGTGGTTTCCTCCTCAAAAGGAGTTTGGCTAATCCCCAGTGAAGTTATTAGATTTTATTTAGGTACTGTAGGACTATGGCACTGTAACACTCTCCTCCAATTGTTCATCGATTTACTCGAGTGGGCACCAGTAGTAAAGTCTCCATTGCGAGACTTGTTGTTACTGTTTTTGGCATATCAAATACACCACGGGGAGCTTGCCAGGCTCTGCTGTGCAGGTGGGATACTCTCGGTAGCTTGCCAGGCTCTCCAAGAGGGTCAGAGGAATCAAACCCTGGATCGGCCACGTGCAAGGCAAATACCCTACCCACTGTGCTATTGCTCCAGCCTATTTAGGTACTGTCTTATAAAATGTGAGAACAGTGTCCTTGGATCCCCAGCACGTGGGAGGTGCACTTCTTGTCACTAACTTTCTGCCTACCACACAAGCATTATCAACCCTAGAACCTTCTAGGGTTCAGTTCTAGTTCACCCCTAAATACATTCTCTCAGATTTCCTTATGGTCTTACCTATTTAGTTTTATTAATCCTTAAAATGTGGAGATCCAAACAGAGTTAATTATACACTTTGCCTGACTCCCTAAGATCTGGAATTCAGAATGAAGAGGTGGGGAAGAAAAATTAAAGTAAGCAGTGAGAAGAAATTCCATCATTTCATTCATAGCAAAAACCAGAAGAGGAAGTCACAGACACTCCCTCTGATGACCAAGTCTTCAGATTTAAAGAAGAAATTTATGGATAGAAGGAGAGAAGAGGGAAATATACCTTCGTGAGAAATTCTGGAATAAGTTCAAGTTTAGTCATGGGGCTAGTAGAGAAGTCAAGTGAAACCACAGGACCCAGGGCAAAAAACATCTTAATCTTTTTAGCCAGCTCAGGTTGCCGTGAAAATGCTATAAAACCTGTGGAAATAAAAGGACAATAACAGGAATCCACCTGCAGGGACTTTCTCTGAAAAGGCAGGGGGTCGGGGTGGGGGTGTCCTGCCATCTGCCACCATGTTCTCTTGTGGTAGTGAAGAAGCATGCAAATAATAATGGTTCCAGGGGGTATAGCACTTGAGAGGGACTCTGACTTAATTAGTAAATCAAGGTCTTTTGTTGGAAAATTCAACTGAGGAATCATGTGGCTAGAGCCAGATGATCACCCCTGTTCTTTCAATAATGTAACCTAAGGTAAGGCAAGGCTGCATTTCTAACATTTTCACCATATTCACCATATCCCACACTTTCACCCTCCCCCTTCCTCACATCATCATCTTACCCCCATGCCCATCTTTACTAATGACTCCAGCTGTGGAGAGAACCACTGCCTTGCAGAAGACAGAAATGAGGAGGCAGATAAGGCTGGCCTCTCTCCTGCTCACAAGTCACAGAATCCTAGTATCAGGTCACACTGGGGATCTTATCCACAATCATTCCTACCTCTCAAAGGTCTCCCACCACCACCCCTTATAAAGGCACTGCTTCTTTGGCCTTACGGGCCTTTTTCAGGACCTATACTTCACCGTGAGGCCTTAGCTGGAAAGGTCAAGAGAGTCTAGAGTCTAGTCTTGACTCATTCATCATTTTGCTGACATCTCTGATGAACCATTTTTATTTCAACATTACACTTTTAAGAACATATGTCAACTCTGTAATAAGACATTCTCTTAACTCTCAAACTGCTACAAACATACCAATTGTGGTTCCTTGAGAGTGACCTGTATAGTACAATTGTTCTTGGCCAGTTTTCTTCAGAATGAAGTTGACTGAAGCTGGTAAGTCATACTCTGCCATCTCATCATAACTGTCATACAAAAAATGGGGAAGGACATTGAGACACTGCATCCAAATAAAAGAGCACACCAAGAATAAATGTGCAGTTAGGTGATTTATATCACAAACTAAATACAGCTTGGGAAAACAACACTGAGCCCAGGATACAGAATTCTTTGGCCTGCCTCCAGAGGCTTTCCTATTTCACCTCCATGAAAGCCCACATCAAAATTATCTTTAACCATTTTTAAACTTCTCCATAAATGGGACTGAAGAGTAAGTATTCTTCTATCTCTAGCTTCATCGAACCATCACTTATTGTGGAAGGTTGTTCACTCTATCAATATATCATACTTAAATTTTCCATTCACAGCTAAAGTACATTTGGTAGTTTCCATTTTTTTTTGTTTTTATAAGTGATGTGGGGCTGGAGCGATAGCACAGCGGTAGGGCATTTGCCTTGCACGTGGCTCTCCCAGCCAACCCGGGTTCGATTCCTCCACCCCTCTCGGAGAGTCCAGCAAGCTACCGAGAGTTTCTTGCCCACACGGCAAAGCCTGGCAAGCTACCTGTAACGTATTTGATATGCCAAACACAGTAACAACAAGTCTCACAATGGAGATGTTACTGGACCCACTTGAGCAAATCAATGAACAATGGGAGGACAGTGCTATAAATGATGTGAGACTATATTTGTGTATGTATGTGCAAGTTGACGACAGTGCTCATGTGTGTGTGTTATGCCCTTGGCTGGTTCTTGGTTGTACAAAGGAGATGAGCCTGCAGGAGTTCCCAGCGCTGACCTTCTCTGACATCTGCTACCAAGGCTCCGCCAGTGCCTGCTGTGTACGTGAGTCTCCCCAGACGAGATGTAACTGTACACAGCACTGACAGTGGGGCTGCCAATGGGCCACTCTCCCTACAGCCTCTCCTCTCAGTCTCCAAGGAGCTTCTGACACAGGTATTTCGAATCTTAATTTTACAAAATGAAAACAGATTGGGAGTGGACTTACATAACATGTGAAATCCCATAGAGTGATGAATGGTTACAGTTAAATGAGAATTTCCAGAAATCAGAAAGTGAACATTTGGAGCACATGGAAGAAAAATGGTTAATGAAACACAGCTCACTAGCCATTCTGACAGAAATAATAATAAATGCCAAGATAAGATATTTCTGACTGGATGCACCCAGAAACAGAATCAGTTGCTCATAATTTACCCTGATGTGTTTTATTAAATTTTTAACAATTTAAAACTTGTACAGGCCATTACTTCCCCTCTCTGAACTACCTCTACCCACCTGTAGACACCTGCCTCCCTGTGTGTCTGCAAAGGTACTAAGAGAACAGAAGTCTGTCACACTCAATTCAAGCATACCTGAAGGTCCAGAACTCTTCCTGAGAAACTGAGAGAGTCTTGTGTTTCCGAGACCACGTGTTGCCCCGGCTGTTCCCCATCCAGACGTCAAAGCCAGCGTCGGCCAGAATGAAGCCCAAGCTGCTATTGGGCAGGTTTGTGACCCAATTACTGGAATCTGCGAGCAAGCCATGCTGCAGAAAAACCACTGGTCTGGGACCTGAAAAACACCCATGTTTAGTAGGAGTTAGCACCTGGCTTCAAAACAAGTGTGAGAGCTTGCTAAATAGATAGCAAAAGATCAAAAGCGAATGTCACAGCAGCTAATTAAAACATAAGAGAGGCAGGGCCAGAAGGATAGTATAGCAGGGAGGGTGATTGCTTGAACACAGTAGATCTGAATCCCCAGCACCCACATGGTCCCTCAAGCCCCACCAGGAGTGATCTCTGAGCACAGAGCCAGGAGTAAGTCCTCGGTATGCCAATTATGACCATACCAACAACAATAACAACAACAACAAAAAAAAATAAAGGAAGTAAGCTATTCCTAAAATAACATTAGTACTAGAAAGGCAAAAGTAAAAATGGGCTCTCTTTGTCTATCTGGTAATAAGACTCACTGACTTAACCAGCAAAACCTGTCTTGAGAATTTGTGGAATGCATTTATACTCTCCTTTGGTAATATTTCTCACAATGTAACTTAACAAAATAACCATTATTTTATTTATAGGGCTGGGGCTGGAGCGATAGTACAGCAGGTAGGGCATTTGCCTTGCATGAGGTCAATCTGGGTTCGATTCCCAGCATCCCATATGGTCCCCCAAGCACCATCAGGAGTAATTCCTGAGTACAAAGCCAGGAGTAACCCCCAAGCATTGCTGCGTGTGACCCCAAAAGAAAAAATAATAATAATAGGGTCAGGGATATGACACAGAGGTGGAACACACAGGGTTTGATCCCCATCACTAACAACAACAACAACAAAAATCAGAGGAAAAATAATCACACCTAAATGTATAACTATATATTATTACATATATATAACATATACCTATATTTATCATACACATATATCTATACAATTTATATACTATTCACCTATACCCAAAACAAGCTTTTTCAGAGCTTGGCACTGAAAAAACCTGCCCATATGACATTACCTTGTATCAGGATTAATCAATCAATCATTCATGAAACAAGCACTTATTGAGCACTGACTGTACGCTAGGCATTCTTTATCCAGAGAACATAAACAGGAGTGAAAAGGCCCGTCCTCATAGAATGAACACTGCATGACCCTGAGACTTAGAATTAGACTAACACGTCCAAGCCTGTCCTCTCTAGGATATGCTGTTCTGAGTAAGGTATTTCAATATCCCCTGAAATTTATAGCTCCTGCAATGTGGAAATGTGAAATACATTAGGGAGTCATGAGCTATGAGATGTCATATGAACTTTTCCTAGCAAAATGTGGTACAGAAGGAGTTTAATACCCAGCTTTCTCCTAGAAAAGGAGGCACTGGAATGGAAAGCAGAGGCAGCTCGGGCAGTTCTCAGTCTAGTCCCTCTGCTCAAGAGGTAGCTCCATCAGAGCAACAAACCAATAGAACAGGACAAGGACTGTGCCCTATAGTAGTCCAACTGGTCCCAGATGAATCAGGGTGGGCTGGAGGCTGAGGCAGATGCCTGAAAGCACCTTGGCCCTGAAGCAAAAGTGACTCAGCATCAAGGTCACCTAAAATTGTGCACAGTAAATCAGCAAAGAGAAGCACCTGCAGTGCTGTCCACCGGACCAGGGTCAAATATGGGCACAGGCAAAGAGGAGACTGATTATGCAGCTCTGAGAGCGCAGGCGCTGAGTCCACATTCACAAAAGATGCCTGTCGGGGTCTCCCAAGGCACTGGCCTTCTCTTCCACAGTAGGGTCTACACAGGTCTCATTCTAGAATGGCTGTGATGGGCCCAAAGAAATTGGAAAAATCATTTTGTAAAAGATGTCAATGAAATTATTTGCTACAACATGTGTAAATTAACGCTTTACTCTGAATTTACCTAGTGATTTCTAATCATGTCAGCTCATCAGACAGGCCTGGGAATCTTGTGAAACAGTCAGCATCTTAAGACCCACCCTTCCAGGGACTCTCAGGCCCAGAATTCTGCATCGTCAAGTTAACTAATGGCTCAGAGACTCGATGAGGCCTGTCAGCACAGGCTCACCAGATCTGCCACTGCCAAAGGCAAGTCTAGCTCCTTGCTAGTTTTTGAAGTCTGAAGTCTGAATCACTTCAAGTCTCCAGAGTATTTTAGATATTATAGTTAAAAGTCACACAAAAGGAGGCCCTGCACTCCTTCTGTGAAGGCAGCTTCTAGAAAAAATGTGGCAAAAAGATTTATGCAACTTATAAAGCACAAACAGAATCTTTCAGTATCAATATTGCAAACCACAATGATAAAGAGAGAGAGAGAGGAGGAAGAGGAAGAAGAGGAGGAAGAAGAGGAAGAGGAAGAGGAAGAGGAAGAAGAAGAAGAAAACGAAGAAGAAGAAGAAGAAGAAGAAGAAGAAGAAGAAGAAGAAGAAGAAGAAGAAGAAGAAGAAGAAGAAGAAGAAGAAGAAGAAGTAGTAGTAGTTAGTAACGGACACTGGTGGAGGGTTCGAATACTGTACGAATGAAATCCAATCATGAACAGCTTTCTAAGGGTCTGTCTCACAGTGATTCAATTAAAAAGTTAAAAAATAAAAATTTTACAAAAAATAAAGCACATACAGTCTCATCAACTCTTACTGAGGAATGCAAAGTCAGAAGGACCCCATCACTACACCACCCTGCAATGGTCCTCAGGACTGGACAATCTAGAGAAGTTACAGACACATCAAAGTAGGCCCTCAGCTCTGCACAAACCCCACACTCATGGATTGGTTCCCTAAGATAGGATTTAGACCCCCTACCCCCCAAAATCCCAGGCCCTCAGGGTCTTTCTGAACCTGCCCCAATTAAGTACCATAAATCCAAGCAAGCATTTCTGTATCTGGTTGATTTGCAATTATTACTACTACTTATCCCTAACAGCTACCAACCACGTGTCTGGCACTTTGTCTTACATGATCTGGGCTGTTTCCAGAGATGTTACAATCCACCTCCCTATTAAAGATGAGGTAGCTAAAACCTGGGTCGGAATCACCTGCCCTGGAACACTTACTGAGCTGTGAACCAGAACTGAAACTCAAGTCAGTCATCACATAGTTGTTGTTTGTAACAGTTGTTGCTTTTATTTTAAGAAAGAAAGTTCATTAAAAAATGAAGAGGTGTAAATGACATGTGTCTCAAATATTCCCTCTATACACAAGAACTGCTTCATTGCAAGTCAAGAAATATTTTCCCAAACTGGCTAAAAACAATCGCCTGGGCACTCAGAGTCAGCCGTGGCCCTGAGAATAGAGAACCCCCAAATCCGAGCCTGTGAAGAGTTATATTTAACAAGATCCCTGGGCTCTCTGAATGCAGCCTACTCTTAATTTTGTTTAAAATGGATTCATCTAGATGAAGTCAACCAGAGGTGGAGATCCATGGTTTGCACAATTTGGGTCCCAGATGATCTTCAAGTGCCAGCTTCGTAAGAATGATGAAGAGTAGATAATCATTTATCCAAACTAGGGATCTATGGAAGCAACTTTTGCTCTAATACTCAAGAGTTAGACTCAAAGTTATATTTCAACTGGTGCAGGGATGGGTATTTGATCATTGTTTAATTGAAACCCAAGCACAAAAATTTGTAAGTCTACAACTGTACCTCATGATGTCTCACTAATAAAAATTTTTTAAAAATTATATTTCAAGAGTTATCCTAAAAAAAAAACTATTGGACTGGAGCAATAGTACAACGGGTTAGGGCATTTGCCTTGCATGCTGCTGATTCAGGTTCAATCTCTGATATTCCACTGTTCCCCTGAGCATTGTCAAAGTGATTCCTGATCAAGGAACAAGGAGTAACCCCTGAATACTCCTAAGCGTGGTCCTAAAACAAACAAAATAGCCCCAAGCATAGAGAACAAGGAACATCAGTGGGATACCAATTATATTCACACATTATAGCATTACAGACACTGGAGAAAATACAAAAGAGGTTTATCCCAAAAGCATCTAACTGTAAGAATTCAAGCAGTAAGAGTTAATGCATAGTCACCCAAATCAAGCACTTTCCTGCCTATGGCTTTATCAGGGCCATGACTGAAAGGTTTTATTTACACAGTGCAGAGTTAGGCCACTGGCCTTTGCCTTCTGCTGTATAGGCAGGGGCATCGAGGGAGAAGGATAACTCTGCCCCTTCAGACATACAATTAACACAGGTCAACTCAAACCCAGGTCACAAGGGAACAAAGTTTCCATCTTCACATCATAGGTGACTCCCACTTCCCTCTGCACTCCTGTGCACCACCACCTATTTCCCAAATGCTTCCTTGAAAAATTCTTTTGCTCTAGTCCAAAATGCCCATTGAGCAGAAGGGACACACATTCCAGAGAGAAAGGCACCAAGCTAGACATCAAGCAATGCTGATCTCCAACAGTGGCTCTCCCTATCACATCTGCACTTCAACATATCCTGTCCACAGCAAACAAATCTTGGGCATAAAGATCTTCCTCCTTCCCTTAAAGTTTAGAAGAGTGGCTTTCAACCCTCAACTAGGGACAGACTGGTCTGTGCACCAGTTCAAGGACCTGCAGTTAATAATTACTATGGTTGATTGGTAGTTTTCAAACCTTGAAACTTGTCCATGGACCAGCAGTTGTAAACTGCTAATGAAGACTCCATTAACCCATTTGAGCTTCTATAATAGAATGTCTAGATTTTTGGTCTGTTGTAAACAGCAGATATTTATTTCACATAGTTCTGCAGGCTAGGAAGTTCAAGGTCAAAGGTGCTGGCAGACCCAGTATCTGACAAGAGCTTGCCTCTTGGTTCACAGAAGCAGTGTTTTTGCCAGTATCTTTTTGGGATCAGTTTCCCAGGGGCACAGATACCTTTTATGAGGACTCTGCTCCCCAACTCCCTTCCTATTCCCTCCCCTCCACCTCCCATCTAGTCACTATCTTGAGCTTAGGGTGGATAGATGGTTGGAGAGATTCAGTCTACAGCACAGTCCTACTCACCAAACACGGAGGAAGCAAACATGAGACACTGCTATCCAATGCACGATGATATTCAAAATGAAAAAGCCAAGT